TGATGGCAACAAATGTACAAATGTGCTTGACACAATGAATGTATGTATGGATTGTGATAAGAGCTGTCAGAGCCCTCAATAAAATTATTTTAAGAATAATAATAGATTAATAAATTGGCACTATTAAAAATAATTTTCATACACACACAAATATAATATGTTTTTGCTGAAAGTATACATGGCAAATTAGACTCTCATGTAATAATTTCTATACATATTGTTTAGTGACATTGGTTACATTTTTTACTAATGTGTCAACCATCTCATTAGTTACATTCTTGTTGCTCATTGTCTATTAATCTAGCTATTCTCTCCTTTTTTATACCTTTTCACTTTTGCTTTAGGTAAATGTGGACTGTTTGCTATCATGTAAATGATTTTTTAAAAGAGCTCACTGGTGATACTGTTTTTTTTCTTTTCTTTTTCTTTTTTTTTAATCATCTTATTAGGGGCTCATACAACACTTATCACAATCCACACACCCATCAATTGTGTAAAGCTCATTTGTACATTCATTGCCTTCATCACTCTCAAAACATTTCCTCTCCACTTAAACCCCCAGCATTAGGTCCTCAGGTGATATTGTTTTATGATAAATAAACAATGATATCATTTATTTTATAAGGTAATCTATTATTTAACTGAAAGACGGCCTCTGGGTGTGGTTTAAGTTCAAAATGTAAAAGATATCTTAGGAAGATATTTGGGGGGTTCTTGTAGTCACTAATGATCCATCCAGTAAGTCTATACTTTTTTAAGAATTTGAGTTTTATTCTATATTTTTCTTCCACTCTTAATGTGACACTTCTGTATCTCTGGTCAGAACAGTCAGTAGTGGTAGCCACTGCCCTCTAGTTCTTCTGGTCTCGGATTGATGAGGCTGAGGTTCATATGGGCTACTAGCTTTGTAGACTAATTTCTTCTGTGAGTCTTCAGTTTTTTGCTTTCTCTTTTGCTCCAGGCAAGTAGAGACCAGTAGGATGTAGAACATAATTTTGTGAGCATTGTTAAGCTAATTTACCTAGTTTTCCTATGAAATTATGGTCCTAAGCCTTCAAACCTAGTAAACCAAGCTCAAAAGGTATGTGGTTATGTCTAAGAAGTATCCATAACTTTGTCCATTATGTGGTTTTTATATGTTATATATTCATATATGTACTAGACACAGGCATATATATCTATAGCTACATATGCAAACACATACATGTATCTTGCTCAACACATATATGCATACATATCTACCTATATAACCACACGCATTATTTTTTTTAATAATTGAAATACATCATTTGAATCTGTCATCAAAGTCTTTCATAACTTAAAAAATCCAGTTGCTACTCCTATTTTAGATTTTTGGAAAAATACACTTCTATATCATCAGCATTCTGCCAATCACTTTATATTTTAATGTTGTCTGAAAATATATAGCCTGACCTTTTTATTTCTCAAATGAGGTAAATGATTGGGGAGGCCTTGTGGCCAAGGTTACTCTGTCACAGGTAGACTGATCTCTCTACCTGTCCCCTCCTATTGCCTGTAGACAGTGCATTTAGACTTCACTTCTCTTAGTTCTTGGGAAAGCAGTTGTCATTTCATTCATGAGAGGTCATTTTAAGGGAAAGGGAAAATAGTATAAAAGTACAACTTCCTTATTGAACATTTTAAAAACTCCTAATTCGCTGGCACATGCTAGTCTCAGGCAGCTGATGGCTTACCATTGATTCAGAGGTGTGTTTTGTTTTGTACCTTGACTACATTATCCTCCCTTCAGTTCACTTAGGTACTTCACTCTCTAGTGCAGCGATTCTCAACCTGTGGGTTTTGACCCCTTTGGGGGTTGAATAGCCCTTTCACAGGGGTCGCCTAAGACCATCGGAAAACACATATTTCCAATGGTCTTAGGAACCGAGACACCGCTCCTCTATCCATCTCCAGGTGGGTCCGCCCACATGCAGATACGCCCACATAGGAGTACCCAGTGTGAAGACTGTTACCCATGCTACACCATGCTTCAAGACAAAATTTCATTTATTTGTCATTAGAAATAAATATTTCACAATATATAAGTACATATTGATTTGTGATTCATCACGATGCTTTAATTATGTTCAATTTGTAACAATGAAAATACATCCTGGGTATCAGATATTTACATTACGATTCATAATAGTAGCAAAATTACAGTTATGAAGTAGCAATGAAAATAATGTTATGGTTGGGGGAGCACCAAAACATGAGGAACTATATTAAAGGGTCACGGCATTAGGAAGGTTGAGAACCACTGCTCTAGTGGAATAGAAATCCACAGGACTTAGGAAAGTATTTTTAGTTCTTCAGATATATTCCCCCACACCTCTACCTAGAAAACTGCAAAGTCCCTATTCAGAAAGAGAGAAAAAGCTTCCCCAATCTTTTATGCACATTGCTTAGGTATTTTCGTTTGTGGTATATTTTGGTTCTTTTTTTTTTAAACTTTTTATTTTTTTTTCTTTAAATGTTTTTTTTAAACATTTTATTAGGGACTCATACAAGTGTTATCGCAATCCATACACACATCAATTGTGTAAAGCGCATTTGTACATCATTCTCAAAACATTTTCTCTCCACTTAAACTCCCGACATTAGGTCCTCA